TCTCAGAGGGAGACCCCAAGGAGTGTTGCTTTTCTGAATGTCTATATTTCAAATAGTATTTCTAAAAATACTCGCTCTGCACAAGCTTCTCAATCCCCTCGTCCCTCAGGCTTGTGCTTGTGCCTGCAGAACGATCCCTTTGGAAACTGCAATGCATGCAGTGGGATATTCTGAGCGAGGTAGTCTTATGTCATACCTGGGAAATGCGCAGAGAAATGCTGTAGGTGTGTCACGGGTGAAAGGACTGGAAAATCTGGGGCGTTGCCTCCCTGATCTCCTTGCTCTCTCCAGTTTTATATAATTGCTCTTCTGTTCTGCTTATATAAGTGAGATGCTTGCAGAGCCGTATGAAGAAAGCAGGATTTTGAAAAGAATTCCTTTTCTTGGTGCAAGTGTGGGCTGAGATGTCGCTGGAATCCCGCTGATCTGAAAAGATACGGCATCATTTAAATGCACTGAAAAACACCCTTAACAAACTAAGCCTAGCGTGACGAGCAATTGTTTTACACCTAATGATAGTGTTGTGCAGGAAAGGGGGGGGAAATGAATCTGGTGAGCCCGTGTCACATTTTACAAACAAAAATAACTGCACCAGAATTGTGTGGGTTTATAAGAATGTTGTGTTATTTGTGGTATTTCTCCTTCCTTCTGTTTGTATATGTATTTTTTATCAAAACGTGTTTCTCTTGCTCTATATCTGAAGATATCGATGCAGTATAAAATAACTTACTTAGGCAATCCCTCGTTGTCCGAGTATGATGGCCTTCCAAGGATAGGATCTTGGCGGTGGATTCGTAGTTGACAGTAGAGCCCTATTCTTGACCCACATGTTTTTCCACAGTGAGGACATCTGTTTCCAGGTAGAAGGCGGTTCCAGTCAGAGTAGGTGTTGCAACTCAGAGTAAGCTTCACCTTGCTTCCAAACACCACCACATAAGTGCTGTAGTTTTATAGTTTATTGAGGAAAAAATCCAAGTCAAAATAAAGAATAAGCATTGCAAAGTTCCAAAGATTTAGGTTAAATGCAGAATATAGTTCCAAAGATCTTCAAGAAAAACAAGAGGCACAGGCCTATAGGCAAAGTTCAAACCAGAGTCCAAGGTACAAGCAATGAAACAATTGCCCCAAGAATCACAATGCAAGAAATCCCAGGCGTGCTGCTTTCCAGGCTAAAGTTATTCCATGAAGCTTTCAGGCTAATAAGCTACATTGAACTGACGCTTTCTCTTAGTTTGCAAGAATCCTAAATCCCTTTCTAACATGAAAACAGTATGCTCTCACCAACATGAAAGCATTGCGATGACCTTTCCCCGAGCTGGCTTCTCATCTGCCGGCCAGGTGAGAACTCTGCCTGACCCACAAATCAAGACGAGCTTGCCGGGTCAGGTCACTGTCAAGGCTTACTGTACTTTCAGTATCAGCGTGGGAACGAGGCAAATGCCTCCCCACCTGTTCGCTATCTCCTTCATTAAAATTCTTTTCTTCTGAGAACCGCTGTGTTGACTGACTCTGCACTGTCTGTGGCCTCAGAAAAAGGCCCAGAAATCTGAGGCACAGAAAAAGAGCCAGGAATCTGAATCCCATCATCCTCATCAACAGGGAACATCTCAGCCACAACAGTAGGCTTGATGCACCTTCCTCTTGGCACCTTTCTCCCTCCATTCGTGCCTCTTCGAATTACATCACTGCTGGTCACAGCTGACCTCCAGCTAGAATGCTCGAGGGCCAGGCTTTCCCAGTTCTTGGTGTCTATGCCACAGTTTTTCACCTCTTCTTTAAATCTTTAACACCTTCTTTAAATTTCTTTCCTGTCCACCAACATTCCATTTCCTGTTCTTGAATTGAGAGTACAGTGTTCCCTCGCTACTTCGCGGTTTGCTTTTCACAGACTCACTGTTTCGCGGGTTTTTGCCTCCCAGTTTATGAATGGTTGCTGTTGCCCAGTGTTCTAATCCCACTTTCTGGCAACGATGGAGTGTGGTAGGGGGTTTCACCCTCCCCCTCGGGAGAGAGGCAGTCAATCAAGAGAGATTGCAAAGCAAAGCAGAGATAGCTAGCAAAAGAAGTGCACAGTGCCTTTAAATCTTTCCTTGCTTCTGCCTCCCCCTCAGAATGCGATACACATATATAGTGTCCCTACTTTGCAGATTTTCACTTTTCGCAGGTAGTCTTGGATCGTAACACCCGCGATAAGTGAGGGAACACTGTATAGTAACTGCTTTGGGAGACAGTGATCTGGCATGCAGACAACGTGGACAGTCCAGCAGAGTTGATGGCATAGGAACATTGCTTTAGTGCTGGTGGTCTTTGCTTCTTCCATCACACTGACATTTGTCCGCCTGCCTTGCCAAGAGATTTGCAGGATTTTTCATAGGCAACGCTGATGAAATTGTTCCAGGAGTTGAGTGTGATGTCTGTAGACAGTCCACGTTTCACAGGCATATAATAGGGTTGGGAAGACAGTAGGGAAGACAGTATCCCCACAGATGTCCCGATCTGTAGTGATACCAACGGAGCGAGGAGGATAAAATAACTACAGTTAGTGGGATAAGGAGAATCAATGTGATGCAGTGGTTCTTTTTGGGGTTTTTTGTCATGTCAGGAGCAACTTGAGAAACTGCAAGTCGCTTCTGGTGTGAGAGAATTGGCTGTCTGCAAGGACGTTGCCCAGATGAAGGGTTAGAAGGCAGGATCATCAAGTTTGCAGACGACACCAAATTGGGAGGGAGAGCCTGAGCCAATACTCCAGAGGACAGGAGCAGGATTCAAAACGATCTTGACAGATTAGAGAGATGGGCCAAAACTAACAAAATGAAGTTCAACAGTGACAAATGCAAGATACTCCACTTTGGCAGGAAAAACGAAATGCAAAGATACAGAATGGGGGATGCCTGGCTTGAGAGCAGTACGTGTGAAAAAGATCTTGGAGTCCTCGTGGACAACAAGTTAAACATGAGCCAACAATGTGATGTGGCGGCAAAAAAAGCCAATGGGATTTTGGCCTGCATCAATAGGAGCATAGTGTCTAGATCTAGGGAAGTAATGCTACCCCTCTATTCCGCTTTGGTTCGACCACACCTGGAATATTGTGTCCAATTCTGGGCACCACAATTCAAGAGAGATATTGACAAGCTGGAATGTGTCCAGAGGAGGGCGACTAAAATGATCAAGGGTCTGGAGAACAAGCCCTATGAGGAGCGGCTTAAGGAGCTGGGCATGTTTAGCCTGAAGAAGAGAAGGCTGAGAGGAGATATGATAGCCATGTATAAATATGTGAGAGGAAGCCACAGGGAGGAGGGAGCAAGCTTGTTTTCTGCTTCCTTGGAGACTAGGACACAGAACAATGGCTTCAAACCACAAGAGAGGAGATTCCACCTGAACATGAGGAAGAACTTCCTGACTGTGAGAGCCGTTGAGCAGTGGAACTCTCTGCCCCGGAGTGTGGTGGAGGCTCCTTCTTTGGAAGCTTTTAAACAGAGGCTGGATGGCCATCTGTCAGGGGTGATTTGAATGCAATATTCCTGCTTCTTGGCAGGGGGATGGACTGGAGGGCCATGAGGGCTCTTCCAACTCTTTGATTCTATGATTCTTCACTGTGCCCGTATGATTTTGTTGTTTTATCATCCTTGTGGGAGGCTTCTCTCATGTCCCCGCATGAGGAGCTGGAGCTGATAGAGGGAGCTCATCCGCCTCTCCCCGATTCGAACCTGCGACCTGTCGGTCTTCAGTCCTGCCGGCACAGGGTTTAACCCACTGCACCACCGGGGGCTCCATGCAGTGATTTGAGTGTTCGACTGTGACTCTGGAAACCAGGGTTAAAATCCCAATTTAACCATGGACACTCACTGGGTGGCCTTGGATGAGACACACTCTCTCAGACTAGGAAAGGATAAGAACAGAGAATTGCCATGAAAACCCTCTGAAAGCGATGCTTCACCACATAGCTTTCCATCTGTGTCTTGCAACACATTTAGGATGTGTCAGTAGCAGTGTGTAGGTGTGTCACGCGAACATAACAAGAAACTCAGGTCTGTGTAAAATAAGTAATAAATCATATATTTTTAAAATATATAAATGAAAGTATTTCATGAGATATGTTGTGTCCCTATGCATTTATGTATGCATCTGTATCTCTTATAAGGGACTAGTAGTTCTGTGTGGGACATTTCCCCTGATTCTGTCATACGTGGGGTTCAGAATGCGCTTTGATAGTAGGTGAATTGTGAATTCCAGTTACTACAACTCCAAAATGTCAAAGTCTATTTTCCCCAAACTCCATCTGTGTTCATATTTGGGCATATGAAGTATTCGTGCCAAGTTTGGTCCAGATCCATCATTGTTTGAGTCCACCGTGCTCTCTGGATGTAGGTGAACTACAACTCCCAAACTCAAGCTCAATGCCCACCAAACTCTTCCAGTATTTTCTGTTGGTCATGGGAGTTCTATGTGCCAAGTTTGGTTCAATTCCATTGTGGATGGAGTTCAGAATGCTCTTTGATTGTAGGTGAACTATAAATCCCAGCAACTACAACTCCCAAATGACAAAAATCATAATTTTTGAGTGATGGTCACTCCTTGTGTTGTGAGACGTTCTGTTGCCAAATTTGGTGTGATTTCATTCATTGGTTCATTGGAGGAGGAGGGACATCTAATTACCTCTCAACAAAAGTTTGCTCCAGGCACCCTTTTTCCTAGTTCCAACAGACCTCACTACCTCTGAGGATGCTTGCCATAGATGCAGGCGAAACGTCAGGAGAGAATGCCTCTAGACCATGGCCATACAGCCCGAAAAAACCTACAGCAACCCAATGGGTTAAACTGTTGTGCCGGCAGGACTGCTGACTGAGAGGTCAGCGATTTGGACTCCACCACATTCCAAGACAGCATATTTCGCTGCCAAGATCCTTAGAAATGTGATAGTATTGGTGGTAAGAGTTTAAAATCAAGCACACATGTGTAGTTACTTATCTTTATTCTTTTTGCTCTCCTGTTTGTCTCAGGATTCCTACAGGAAACAAGTAGTCATCGATGGCGAAACCTGCCTCTTGGACATTTTGGATACAGCCGGCCAAGAAGAGTACAGCGCAATGCGGGACCAGTACATGAGAACGGGCGAGGGCTTTTTATGCGTATTTGCTATAAATAACACAAAGTCTTTTGAAGACATCCATCATTACAGGTATGTTCCGTGGAGTTGATGTTTCAAGCATTAGCTGGCTGGTACAGGTTTTGTCGTCACAGGAAATCATTGCCTAGAATAGCCGTGATTCAATGTGTAGCAACATGTGGTGGTCCAGACTTGAGAGGGCTGTGCCATTTGAGGCTGCAGGTGTGGATATCTAGGTATATTTTATGTTCTGTTACATTTTCATAAAGGATGCAACTGTCTGCAAGTAAAACCTCAAATGTGATATTAAAACTTGTGCACCAGCTGCGCCCGTACCTTGGGAAGTCTGACTTGGCCACGGTGGTCCACGCTCTGGTTACATCCTGTATAGACTACTGCAATGCTCTCTACTTGGGGTTGCCTCTGAAGACTGCCCGGAAGCTGCAATTAGTCCAATGAGCGGCAGCCAGATTACTAACAGGAGCGGGGTACAGGGAGCATATTACTCCTCTGTTGTGCCAGCTCCACTGGCTGCCAATTAGCTTCCGAGCACAATTCAAAGTGCTGGTGTTGACTTATAAATCCTTAAACGAGTCCGGCCCAGTTTACCTGTCCGAACGGATTCTCCCCTATGAACCATCAAGGTTGTTAAGATCTTCTGGAGGGGCCCTGCTCTTGGTCCCACCACCCTCGCAATCGCGTCTGGTGGGGACGAGGCCTTCTCAGTGTTGGCCCCTCGGCTCTGGAACTCTCTCCCATTGGAGATTAGAACTGCCCCTTCTCTCCTTACCTTTAGAAAGTTGGTGAAAACCTGGCTCTGGAATCTGGCATTTGATGAGTGAGTCAATAACTCTTGACCACACAGAAGGATGGTGATGAATTGTGTTTTTATTCTGACGACTTGGCCTTATGTAATTATATGATTGTATTTTAATGTGTTTTATATTAGTGTACTAGGGGGTGTGATGTTTTAAACTATTGTGTATGAATCCTCTGTTGTAAACCGGCCTGAGTCCCTCGTCGGAGGTGAGAAGACCGGTATATAAAAGTTCTAAATAAATAAATAAATTGTTGGTGTTCTGTATCCATGGATTCTAAATCCACAGATTCAACCATCCATGCTTTAAAAATGTTTGTTTTTAAATCCAGAAAGCAAACCTACAGATACAGACATCTACAGATTTACATATCCACATATGGGCTCAGGAACCAAACCCCAGTAGATCCCAGTGAACCACTATACCAGCGTTTCTCAACCTTCCTACTGCCACAGCCCCTTAATACAGTCCCTCGAGTCGTGGTGACCCCCAACCATAAAATTATTTTTGTTGCTACTTCATAACTGTAATTTTGCTACTGTTATGAATTGCAATGTAAATATCTGATATGCAGATGTATTTTCATTCACTGTACCAAATTTGGCACAAATACCCGATACGCTCAAATTTGAATTTGGGGATATTGATTTTGTCCTTTGGAAGTTGTAGTTGCTGGGATGTATAGTTCACCTACAATCAAAGAGCATCCTGAATTCCACCAACAATGGAATTGAACCAAACTTGGTACACAGAACTCCCCTGACCATTGGTGGGCATTTAGTTTGAGTTTTGAAGTTGTAGTTCACCTACATGGAGAGAGCACTGTGGACTGAAACAGTGTTAGATCTGGACCAAACTTGGCACAAATACTCAGTATGCCTGATTGTGATCACTGGGAGAGTTTTGGGGAAATAGACCTTGACATTTGGGAGTTGTGGTTGCTGGGATTTATAGTTCACCTACAATCAAAGAGCATCCTGAACTCCACCAATGATGGAATTGAACCAAACTTGGTACACAGAACTCCCCTGACCATTGGTGGGAATTGAACTTGAGTTTTGGAGTTGTCGTTCACCTACATCTAGAGAGCACTGTGGACTGAAACAATGATAGATCTGGACTAAACTTGGCACAAATACTCAATATGGCCAAATGTGAGCACTTGGGGGGGGGGGGGATAGACCCTGACATTTGGGAGTTGTGGTTGCTGGGATTTATAGTTCTGCATATAGCAATCTAGCACTCTAGAAGGAAATGTGTCCTGATGTATCTGTTTGCTAGTCAGAAACAGAATTATGGCATTCAGAATGCTCCTCCATGCAGTCCCCTTTTGCAGCCTGAAATGGAGCAGACCCAAATTATTGTTTTTATTTTTACTACCTAGTGGTTTCGTACGTCTCAGAAGACTCTTTCTAACCTTCCATTCCAACCCCCTAACTGCCTAAAATACAAATTAATTAGGATCATTTTGAGACTAGAAACTGACGGTGGTTGCGATTTGTGTCACACAGAAGTCACCGAACCCTGTAAAAGGCTGGGCATGTGACAACAGCAGGCCCTTCCTTAATTGTTCCGTCAAAAGCAGCCTTTGAGTTATTTTTATCTGTGCTCCCAAATCGTTAGGTCACAGGATGCACACGCTGCTCAAAGCCATACAAAGCAGTAATGGGAAGGCAATGTGATTGTAGCATTCTAACTATCCCCAGTTCACGTTGCCATCCAATCATCCAGCTTTTGCTCCAAAAGATTGCCGTTTGGCTACCTTCCAAAAGATTGCCGTTTGGGTGTGCAATCTTACTGTGCCAAAAAACCAAACTGTTGTAGCCTTTCTGCCTGCCCTGAAGTGATGCTTACTAGCTCTGGCGAATGAATAATCTTCTCTGGTTCTGTGGAGCTGCCTGGCTTAGAAGTTTCCATGCACATCCTGTGGAGTTGCTGATGCAATCCTTTCTGTTTCAGTAATGTAGGGAGGTTGAAGCCATACAATATAATTCTTCAGTACATACATACCCATGAGAGTTGGGACATTTGGGGATTTGTGCACAGAGATAGAAGAATGGCTTGGAGACATGGTTCTGGAACAATATCCCCTCAGGGTCTGATCAAGGGTCTGAGGAGCAGCTTAAGGAGCTGGGCATGTTTAGCCTGAAGAAGAGAAGGCTGAGAGGAGATATGATAGCCATGTATAAATATGTGAGAAGAAGCCACAGGAAAGAGGGATGCTTTTGAACTGTGGTGCTGGAGGAAAGTTCTGAGAGTGCCTTGGACAGCGAGAAGATCCAACCAGTCCATACTTCAAGAAATAAAGCCCGACTGCTCGTTGGAGGGAAGGATAGTAGAGGCCAAGATGAAGTACTTCGGCCACATCATGAGAAGAAAGGAAAGCTTAGAGAAGACAATTATGCTGGGGAAAATTGAAGGAAAAAGGAAGAGGGGCCGACAAGGGCAAATGGATGAATGGGATCCTTGAAGTGACTGGATTGACCTTGAAGGAGCTGGGGGTGGTGACGACCGACAGGGAGCTCTGGCGTGGACTAGTCCATGAAGTCACGAAGAGTCGGAAACGACTGAACGAATGAACAACAACAAAGCTCATCTTTCCTCAATCTAGATTTTACATATGAGACTACAAAACTTTGCTGTACTGACTGGAATGACTAGGAGTTGCAATCTCATTTATGGAGTGCTGGTTAAATTACTTTAATCTACTTTGTTTGTTCTCTAAAAGCTTCCAAGCAATGTTATGGCTTATTTATTTGTCGTGTCAGGGCAACCAGTCAATTATATTACATTTCTAACAGAACAAAGCAAACAAACAGACAAAATACAAAATTTGTGAGTTGGGTAATTGATTAAATGTGCTTTGACCAGTATCTGGCCACTTGGAGTGCTTCTGGTGTTGCTGCAAGAAGGTCCTCCATTGTGCATGCAGCAGGGCTCAGGTTGCATTGCAGCAGGTGGTCAGTGGTTTGCTCTTCTCCACACTCGCATGTCGTGGATTCTACTTTGTAGCCCCATTTCTTGAGGTTGGCTCTGCATCTTGTGGTGCCAGAGCGCAGTCTGTTCAGCGCCTTCCAAGTCGCCCAGTTCTCTGTGTGCCCAGGGGGGAGTCTCTCATTTGGTATCAGCCATTGGTTGAGGTTCTGGGTTTGAGCCTGCCACTTTTGGACTCTCGCTTGCTGAGGTGTTCCATCGAGTGTCTCTGTAGATCTTAGAAAACTATGTCTTGATTTAAGTCGTTGACGTGCTGGCTGATACCCAAACAGGGGATGAGCTGGAGATGTCTCTGCCTTGGTCCTTTCACTATTGGCTGCTACTTCCCGGCGGATGTCAGGTGGTGCAATACCGGCTAAACAGTGTAATTTCTCCAGTGGTGTAGGGAGCAGGCACCCCGTGATAATGCTATCTTATGGCTAAATTGTTTTGAGAGACTCTGCTTTTGGGGAGATTACATATTGAAGGTGTTTCATGCATCTGAGATCTTTTTATAACTGGGAGTGAATAGAACTGGATTTCTTCCACTCCTAAAACGTGTTTCTTGTTTCTTGTTTCTTTTCCAGGGAACAGATAAAAAGAGTGAAAGATTCGGAAGACGTCCCTATGGTGCTAGTAGGAAACAAATGTGACTTGCCTTCCAGGACTGTAGATACAAAACAAGCTCAGGACTTAGCAAGGAGTTACGGAATCCCTTTCATCGAAACCTCGGCAAAAACGAGACAGGTAACCTTGGAGGGTCTGAACTCTGGTCTACTTGAATGTTTCAGGCTGGGAATGAAAATGAATCATCATTCCACTTGAGGTGGAGAACAACATTTCCTGCTGAAATGTCTTGCTGTTTGCAGGGTTACAAGGAACAATAGCTAGAAATCAATGAGAAAAGCTATTTTCTGAGTGAAGTAGCTGAGATATGGCTTCAGAGTGGTTAGAGGCAAGTGTTTAGAGTGTTAAGAAGTAGTTAGTAACATCTGAGGTAACCAGTGTGTAGTTAAATCAACAACAAAAGGGAAGGGAATTATCCCCCCCTCCCCCCAATTTGCTTTACTAGATCCTCTTTATGCAGTTGAACATATATAAATTTAACACTGGAGAATAATTTTCTGGGTGTCATGTGTTTCCCACTCCCAAAGAGTTTTCAAAGAAGTTGAAAATCTGGGGACAAAAGCAGTTTATCTACATCATCTATTTCAGAATTTGGAAATGATACTTTTGGTGACTAAGATATCAGAATATCAAGTCCAGATATAGATTCAGGAGGTTATGAGAGCTTATTAGAGCTCTGATCTAGCCAAACAAGACTATAGACCGTTCTTCGACCTTCCTTGCCAGTGATTTTAGGTGCTTGGGGATCATTTGGAGGAGAAGTTCACTTGCATGGTCAAAGTTCCCATTTTAGTTGCCATGTAGGTTTAGGACAGTGGTTCTCAACTTGTGGGTCCCCAGGTATTTTGGCCTTCAACTCTCATAAATCCCAGCCAGTTTACCAGCTGTTTGGCTTTCTGGGAGTTGAAGGCCAAAACATCTGGGGACCCACAGGTCAAGAACCACTGGTTTAGGAGGACAGCTGTAGAAGACAACCTACTAGGACAGTGGTTCTCAACCTAGGATCCCCAGATGTTTTTGGCCTACAACTCCCAGAAATCCTAGCCAGTTTACCAGCTGTTAGGATTTCTGGGAGTTGAAGGCCAAAAACATCTGGGGACCCACAGGTTGAGAACCACTGTACTAGGAGGAAAGAGGCCTGGTTTGGACCTCTCCTTAACCTGGCACCATTCAGTATTTTTCAAAAGGTGAAGTAGTTACATATCTATATCCACCACATTTTAGTCCACCATTTGGTAGGGCTTGGAAAAGTTACATTTTGGGATCATAACTTGGGAAAGTTACATTTTTGGGTCATAACGGAATCTTTGTCTTGACTTGATATTCTGATATCTTAGTCACCAAAAGTATCATTTCCAAATTCTGAAATAGATGATGTAGATATTTGTTTTTGGCCCCAGGTTTGCTGTAGCGTAAGATACATTTCCTTACAGCCCAAGCTATATGAGTCAAAAGTAGGCAAAATTCAGCGCTCCAGGTGCTGTTGGACTGCAACTCACAGCATTCTTTGCCCTTGGGTTTGCTAGCTATGGCAGTCCAATGACACTTGGAGAGCCAGGCTTTGTCTACTCTAGTATCGGCATTCAGTGGTGTCCTGCACCTCTAAAAATGCAATTTCTAAATGCCCTGGGTGTGAGTTTACACTGATACCTAATGGGAAATGGTAAGGATTTTACCACTGTTGGGAATCAGAGTTGTTAAGCTCAAAAATAACCCTTACTTGGGGCGATTCCATAAAAAATATAGCAGAGTGCCAGAAGCACACTTCATATCCAGCAGAAACTTACGTGTAGTGAGCCAGGATAAGCATCCATTCAACAGGATGGATCAGGATTGCAGGAGACACAACTTTAGGTTCCAAACATATATTTATTGAAGTAAAAGGAAATCCATTCTAGATAGAAAAAGGTTTTGGAGCTAACTAGCTTCTAAGGAAGGTAAAATAATAAAAATAACATAAGTATCCATGCAGCTACATTTTGCCTGGAGAAAGGCAAAACGTAGCTACATGGAAGGAAGACAAAAGCAGAGAGAGAAAGGCCAAAATGGAGAGGAGAACCACATGGCCAAACCCAGGGCAATAAAAATACCTTTAAAGAGGAAGTTACCTCATCCCTCATAAAGATTACATTGCTACATCTTCAAGGGGAAGGAAGAAGATGGAATTTGGGATGTGCATGGATAGGAATTTGGAGAAGGAATCCCTCACTCTAATCCTGTCTCTAAGTCTAGCTACTCATTGGGGACTAGAGACTTGTGCAGTTGGGGATGAAACCCAAAAAACACCTTAGTTTCACACACCTGAATCTTAGTCCTAAGGGTAGAATGAAGGGCTGAGTCTGCACACAGTCTATCTCCACAGCCATCCGTTCTTTATCAGCAAATGCCAAATAGTGCTTTTGGACTGCCTTCTGTTGTCTGAAAAAAAATCAGAAATATGTAAGATTCAGAGAGCTGATTTGGGAACATTTCTCTGTTTCTTTTCCCAAACTGCTGAAATAATTTTTGGTCCTGATTCAAACAAACATCTCAGTGTTCCAAGTGGCAGAATTTCACATCCACAGTGTTTTCAGAGTTATTTTTAGGAATTGTCATAACAGCAAGAATTATCTGAATGTTTTATCTCCAGCTGCACAGTGAATGGAGGGTATGGAAGAGTAAAGGTTGGGCTTGGCTTTTGGATTAGCAATGTAACTGAGCAAGCAACAGGCCTATTATTACCAGCTATTGCAAATTTGGTGGTGCGGGAACACTTAACGTTAGCTATTCATAAGCCATGAAAGTAAATATGGACATGGGTGAAAGAGAACAGTCGTGAGGGTGGATTTGGAACTGTTTCAAATCATTTTTTGTTTCCTGGATTGTGATTGCTTGACCTTGTTGTAGAAACCTCTTTCATTTCTATCTTTTTATTCTTCTGTTAATTGATTTTTTTAAAAAATCAACTGTGGTGTATTGGGAATGTGTCCAAGGCTGTGTACACACTGCATGGAGAGAAAGTTTGATCTCTGAAGAGAGAAATGGAAATATAGAGTCATCTGGAGTATCTAGTCCTCCAGTTTGGGAGCTGTGGGTTCTACAATTGCATGCATATGATCCAGAAAAGGAGATGTCTAGATCTGTGCTCAGAAACAATGCATGCAAAGAACTCATTTAGCTAACTAATAGGAGATTCAAGATGAATTGAATGAAGGACAATGTATGGCTAAACTGTAATCATGGCTGCCTAGTTGGGCAGCTTTAAGTTAAAATAATAATAATAATAATAATAATAATAATAATAATAATACTTTATTTATACCCCGCCACCATCTCCCCAAAGGGGACTCGGAGCAGCTTACATGAGGCCAAGCCCGGCGATACATTACGGCAAAATAAAATAAAGAACAACAAAAATAACATCACAATAAAATAAATAAAACATTCAGGTAAAATAAACAGTGCAAAATAACATAATGGAAAATCAGACACGGTGGGTGGGCCAAATGCACGACATAAAATGATAAAACTTTGGATGAGATAGCAGTGAAAAAGGTATATCTGTGAGGGAGGAGCTAAACCCATTTATGGATATTAGAAACATTAGTGCTATTTAATAGAAAATTGGCAAATCATTACCTCAAGGTTTAGACTCAATACGCTTCTCTTTATTGGTTGCTATGACACACAACATGAACATGAGAGAAGGTCATGTTCTGCTAACAGACTATGAACAACTCTTTGCGTATTATCGGAAAACAATGCTGTTAGGCCTTTGGTGTGTTAAGTCCTGCCCTTTTGTTCTTATGTATCCATTCAATTTAGTGGCAGGTGGCAAAGGGATATTGTTCTAGAACAGAGGTCCCCAACCTGTGGTCCACGGACCACCAGTGGTTCACAAGAACTAAAATATGGTCCGCGACCTCACCATTATGACACTGTTGCAACGAGAGTGACTGGTCTCGTGAAACGCTCTTATAGTGCCGAAGCGACGGGGATGTTGGGAAGGGAGAGGCTGACTACCCACGAAACGGGTGTCTTCATTTTTAGACCTGTTCCTAGGGGTTTTTTGAGGTGCTGATTCAGAAAATTGCATTGGATAGACCACATCAGCTCTAGATTATTAGATATGGTTTTCTGATATGGTTTTCTGTGTTATAGAGCAGTGGTTTCCAACCTGTGGTCTGTGAACCATCAGTGATCTGCAAGAACTAAAATATATCCTGTGGCCTCACCATTACTACATTGTTGTCTTGTGAAACCCTCTTATAGTACCGAGGCCTATTAAATATGGTTTTGTGAACCCTCTTATAGGCTTTTTTTTTGGGGGGGTCATGTCAGGAGCGACCTGAGAAACTGTAAGTCGCTTCTGGTGTGAGAGAATTGGCCGTCTGCAAGGACGTTGCCCAGGGACGCCCGGATGATTTTATGTTTTATCATCCTTGTGGGAGGCTTCTCTCATGTCCCCGCATGAAGAGCTGGAGCTGATAGAGAGAGCTCATCCGTCTCTCCCCGGATTCCAACCTGCGACCTGTCGGTTTTCAGTCCTGCCGGCACAGGGGTTTAACCCACTGCATCACCGGGGACTCCGCTTATAGGCTGACTACCCATGAAAGATTATTACTACCACATCAGCTCTAGATTTTTAAATATGGTTTTCTTTGGGGGAGCAAATGGCGACTACTGGGTGGCATATGTTCTGTATCAGAAACTAGAGCTGATGGGGTCTATCCAATGCAAATTTCTAAATCAGCACCCAAACAACTAAACCAAATCCAAAGTTGACCAAAAACTGATTCATAACCCTTTTGGTACTAATGTTGGAGAGTGGGCCCTGGTCAAGTGGTCCCTGGTCAAAAAAAGGTTTGGAACCCCTGTTATAGAGGGAAAGGTGAAGGTCCTATTTGTTCTGAAGGTCCTTCAGATCCCATGGCATTCATGAAGGCCCAGGCTCCTCCCTTTACTAGACCAGGATGGAAGGACAATCAATTACATAAATAAAGAATCATCATCATTATCATCATCCATCAGGATAATGACAGGTTAAAACTTTTACACATTTACTTTTTCATTTTCCACCATTCAGAATTTTCAGTTTAATGGCAGTGTACAAAACAGCCCTGAATATATTTCACATGATT